GATGAGATTTGAAAAGAGGAGGCAAAGGGACGATGAATCAATTGATTGGTTCCTGGATGATCTTGAGAGCTTGAGACGAAGGAGTGATCCTGAAGAGTCAACAAACAGAAGGAACTTTAGCATCGCCTCGAAGTTCATCGATGGGGTAAAAAGCGACGACTCGAAAACAATGTTGGCAACGTTCTACACACTGTCGAAAGATAATGCACCGACTCCAGAAGAGATGAGACAAAAGTCAAGGGAGTACATGCTGATGAAGCCTAAGAAGTACTCGTATTCAGAGAACAGGAATATGCAAGGGGCGAGTCAACCACAAAGGTCGTCATGGTACAAGCCTAGAGATGACATGGACAAAAGTAGATCATGCGCGAATTGCGGGTCAGCGGATCATCACGTGATGGGTTGCACGACGTACAAGCAGGGCATGAAGAGCCTAGGATATGCACCAGATGAGGAAGATATGAGCCAGATGGAAGAACACGAGTTCTATAGTGGCTTGATTATTAAAATAGGTGCGAGATGCTTCTTCTGCAATCAAGAGGGGCACTTCAGGATGGACTGTCCATTGTTTTGGGAAGCAGTAAAGAACCAGAGTCACCCCAAGCACAAGTTGGCGTTGGCGGCGGTGCAGAACCAGAAAAACAGACAAACAGAGTTTGAAACAAAGATTTCGGAGACATCGAGTGCGGAATTACCGACCAAGACGATGAAGGCTGTAACGCAAGTCAGCAGTGCCAGGGAGGCCAAGGCCATGAATTCCCTGGAGATAAATTATGAGAGATCAGCTGCAGAGGCCAACAACAAAGTGAAACAAGACGTAGCCACGAAGGAAATCGAGCAACGATTGAAACAGGAGATCGAAAGGCAGAAACTGAACGAGACGTTAAGTGGGTTAGTGCCAGAGCCAGAAGCCGAAGTGGGAGCGACAGAGAGTGGAAACTGCAACACTCTGAAAATGATGACGGGAAAACCATTCGGCATAACGAAGATCGGAGCCAGGATATTGTCATTAATCACAGTGGGCGGCCACGAAGTAACGAGGAATCTAAGCGAACCCAGCGATCAGACAATAATACACATTGATGAGTACGCAGATTACTTAAGTGCAATAAGTCCGCAGACATCTTCTAGAGCCCTGAGGGCACTACTAACAAGAGGTGGCAGCAAATCAGTCCGCGTCGAGAACAGATATACGCGGAGGCTTATGGTCCGCATGAGGTGATGTTAAACATAGACGGGATAAACATCTACATGAAAACCATGATAACATACGACGAAGACTTAGACGGACAGATCTACGTGGGCAAAGTGAATTGAAAGTGACATCGATTGGACACTGCGCCATGTTGGAAGAAGATTCAATGCACATCGGGACGGAGGCAGATGTATCAGCACATGTGCTTGACATAAGTGGCAAGTAGACTCAGTTGCGCGGGTTACTTGATATAGGGGCAGTCTTGAGTGTTATACCAATTGAAAATTGGGAGCGAATGGGTTTCAACAAGGATGATTCGATAGACTCGATAAAACGGCTGTCAGCTGCAAACAAGGGGGCGCTGCGGGTGCTAGGCAAAACACGAATAATAGCCCTAAACCTGGGGGAATGCAACCTGTGGATGAGCTTTCTCGTGGTGGAAAACCTAGATGAGCCTGACCAATTCATTTTAGGCAGAGATTTCATCAGGAACTCCGACGTAACGATTGATTTAAACAATGCTATGTTCAGGATACGGAACCCGGATAGGAGGTACGCAATTAAACCGGTAAACTTAATAATGGCGAATGAAAATAAAGCACCGGTATTCTTGGGTAGGAGGGTGAGGCTGAAAGCAAACGAAGCGGCAATTAAAAGCTTGCGAATTAAAAAATTATAATGAAATAAGTGACCATAAGCAAGTATGCATAGTCCCAAATCCTAATAGTCAAAGTGCTGCTGTTTTAGGAAGATCCTTCTCGATAACCAAGACCAGTCTCTGCGTCAGTGTCTTGCTGAATACTCTTGATACACCCATCACGATACAGAGGGGTAGAAAGCTGGGACTTGCTTTACCCGTGAAAACTCGATATAAAATGACTGAAAATCCAAAGCAGAATGAAGATAATGATTGTCCCAATCATAGGGACAAAATTTGTATCTTGAGACGATTGAAGAAAATAAAAGGTTCATCAGGTCTTGCAAAATCACTAAAGTCAGAGACAGCCGATGGACTTTCGAGCTGTTCGAATTTCCCGGAAAGACCCACACTAGATGAGATGCAGAGGGATAAACCGGTTCTACCGGAAATAGAACATTTAAAGGGCAAGATAACGGACGAACAGGATGTACTGGAGCGGAATGAGGATGTTTTTTCGAAACATAAGGCAGACATTGGATGTTGAAATATTGTTGAAATGAAATAGAGCTTGAGGAGTCTGCGGTACCCCACAGGGAGGGGGCGAGGCGCATGACCCCACACAAATGTAGGAACGAAATAGAGACTTTACTAGAGTATGATATGATAGAACCATCCAAATCACCGTGGGCGTGTGGAGTAGTCATGGCGAGAAAGAAAGGCGACCAATTGAGGTTTTCTTGTGACTTTCGGTATCTGAACTCCGTCATTGTGAAGGATGCCTATCCCATACCTGGAATTGACGAGAGCCTCTCGAAGTTAGGTGATGCAAAGTTTTTTACGACTCTTGATTTAGGTTCGGCGTTTTGGCAGATCCAACTGAGGAAGCAGGACAGGGACAAAACAGGGTTCGCCTGCGAGCTAGGGCTGTTTCAATGGAAACGGATGCCATTTAGTCTTTGCAATGCCACGGCCACATTTCAACGGTTGATGGCACACGCATTGATATGTGTGACAAAGAAATACGGCAATTTGGTAATGTGCTACGTGGATGACATGGTAATAGCGACGCCTACACTGGAAGACCACATCGAGCGACTAGACGAAGTTTTGCATGCATGAATAGGTCGGGACTAAAGTGCAAACCATCAAAGTGAGAGATACTCAAGGACTCGATAAAATACTTGGGAAGGATGGTGGATAGACACGGCATCAGACCAGACCCAGATGCAGTAGAAGCAGTTCTGACCTGGAAATCGCCAAAAACGGAACATCAGTTATGAGCTTCCTGGATTTTGCGAATTATTACAGGGAGTTCATCAAGGGCTACGCGGACAAAGTATACCCGATGCAGCAACTAATGAGGCACAAATGCAAGAAGTTCACGTGGAACAACGCGGCGGAAGAGTCATTCCAGAGAATAAAGAAAAAGTTGTGCGAGGCACCCGTGCTAGGGATGCCAACGGAAAAAGGAATATACGTGCTGGACACGAATGCAGCGGCAGTCGCGATTTCTGGCATTCACCATCAAGAACAGGAATGGAATGGGAAGACAGTCTTAAGACCAATACCGTACGGGAGTAAAGTCTTGAGTGATACGGAAATGAAGCACGGGGCACCCAAAGCAGAGATGTTCGCGGTGGTTACCTTTGTCGAGAAGTATAGAGCACTTAGGCAGCGTGCCATTCAAGTTGCGAGTCGACAACAGGCACTCAGCTGGCTGAAAACGTACTCAATATATCAGAGCTACATCGGGAGGTGGATAGTTCACCTGGATGGATACAACATGATAATTGAGCATAGGGCAAAAGACAAACATCAAAATGCCGATAGCTTGAGTAAGAAGACGGAGTTCTACGAGAGGCAGGAACAAAGAGAGATGGATATGCCCAAAATCAAGGATGGCTTCTCCTTCATGGATAAAGAAACTTATGACAGTCTTCCACTCACGAGATGGCTCGACAAGTCAGGCAAACCGATAGAAGATCACCCCGAATTACCGAAAGAGCATCCAGAGAAAACGATCTTGAAAAGAACTCAAAAGGTGCCGATGGAGATAATGCTCAAGTCGAAGATTGTGAGGTAGACACTCAAGGCAAAAGGCTATAATCTGAACCAAGTAGAAACGGGAAGGACAGTGATAGATGAAGACTTGAGGAGATTACTCGAGAAACTGGCAGACGATAAACCCGTGATCAAAGAAAATGGTAAGGAGGAACCGAAAGTCACGATATTAAGAAGGAATGAAGCGGGTGGTGGCGAGAACTCCTTATAAGATAAATCTGACGGGAAAGAAGTCGTGCAGTCAGTGGTTGATAAAATCCCTGATGACATATTTGAGCGGACTCGGGTTAGGAAGAAGATAGTGGCATTTAAGGAGGAGGTTGAACACCTTGAGCCCACAGTGGAAGAAGATGCTGGAGAAGAAACATTGTCCGGGGAGTGTGAAGAGTGGGATGAAGTTTCGGAAGAGAGCGGCGATGACCAAGATAGTCTATGCATGATACTGGCAGAAGAGAAGATGAGACACTGCGACAGGGAGCTGCAGACGGATCCCTCCTCACGAATGTACAACTTCGGTCAGCAGGAAGTGCGAGGAGGTGAAGAACTTGAGAAAGTTGCAGTATCGAGGAAACCATTTAGGGAGCGATCGTGCAACTCAAATGTCAGAACAAATTTGGTGCCAGAAGATGACCAGAAGATCACGAGGAGGATAGGATGCGTAAAGCTGAAGGATGACATTCACAACCCTGGAGAAATGAATGGTCAGATAATGGCACTAAAAGAACACGTCAAGGCGAGATATAGGCTGTCTGATCTAATACGGGCCCAAAAGAATGACAAGATTTCAAGTAACCTCTCCAATTGGATCCGGACGGGGTCCAAGGAGAAGGGGGACCTGGAAGACGACAGCTACAAGATCTTGAGCCAGTTCTACAAAGACAGGAAAGACTTACTCTAGCACACAGCTGATGGGGTGGTAGCATGCAAGAGAAAAGATGAGGAGAAGATATTACACAAGCATAACCTCATCATACTGCCACAGTTGTATCAGACTGAAGTGTTATTCAGATCGCATGACCAAACGGGGCACCAGGGGATAGACAAGGTGCAACAAAAAATACTTCACAGGTTTGATTGGCCAGGATTAAGGAAAGCTTGCGAGAGATGGGTGAAAGCATGCCTGGCATGCCTACAAGTGAAAGACCCAAGGAAGATGAAGTTCCCACTATAATCCTTTGAAAGCTCGGAATTTAACGAGGTTGTGCAGATAGACCATCAAAAGATCTGCATGACAGAATCGGGATATAACCAGATACTGGTCATAATAGATCATTTCACAAAGTTGGCTGAAGCGGTGCCGTGTCAAACAGCCTCGGCAGAGGAGACTTGAGACCACTTGATACCACATTGGATTTCACGGTATGGTTGTCCCATGACATTTCAGTCGGACAACGGAAAAGCCTACGTGAGGGACCTGACGAAAGAATTGATGAAGGGGTCACACATTGCTCAAGCGCACTCAATGACCTACCCTCCCCAGACCAACGGGTTAGTGGAGAGACAGAATAAAACGTTGTTGAACATGCTGAGGGTATACTGCTCAAGATATATGACAGACTGGGATAAATATCTGCCGCAAGTGGTAGGGGCATACAACAGTACGCAACACTCAACAACAGGAATCAGTCCCTTCATGATGTTTACGGGCAGGGAAAGAGCCATGCCTCCAACATTCTTTTACCCAGAATACGAAGGGAAAAATACATCGCCTCAAGCTCATGTGGAAGAAGCGGTTAAGAGACAGCAGGAACAAAACGAGCTCTGCAGGAGGAACACAGCGCAAGCACAAATGAGACAGCGAAGAAATACGATGAGAAATTACTGCAAGCGAAACCATATGCAGTGGGCCAATACGTCTGGGTCTTCCAGAATGTTATACCTCCCAAAGGGACAAAGAAAGTATTTAAGAAATGGAGAGGACCGCTCATGATAACGGAAGTGCACCAGCAAGGACGTTTCTACCGCTTGAATACGTGGCGTGCAGCACATTATGAAAACTTGAAACCTCATGTCCTATCCCCAGAAGACTGGTGCGCACCGCAGAATATGGAGGGACTCGAGTACCTATTGGTGGAGCCAGCTTGGGAGGTGAACGAAAAGGGCACCAGAGAGAAAAATGATGGCAACGAGGACTTGAGTTTGGATGACTGGAACGATCCGGAGCAGGACGAGGTACCGAAGTGGACAGAGCCAGACTTGCCGATACCAGCGGGAACCAGGAGTGGCAATCGCAAATGGACATGCATGAGGTACAATAGGTACGGGGATGAATTTTTGATTGATAAGATACAGCCTGATGAATTATGCAAAGAGCTACTAAGTGTGGGCGAACTAGCAGCCGACGATGAATGGCAAAACATCAACGATAGTAACCTCTACCCGCAGGAAGAATACTCCACATCAAAACAAGAGACGGATCTGGAACAGAACGGGATAGAGAGGAGGAAAAATACAAACGTGAGGATACTAGAGTGGATGCGCGATGTCAAGAGCGGAAGTGATGAGGGGCAAAGCATTCAACAAGTCGACGTGTCGGCGGAAAAACACGTGAAAACGGAAGATCCCCTCTTCGGTTGGACAGCAACAGACAGGCGGCTCGAGATTCCTCCATATAATTTAGACCCAGCATCATCGATGGGGACGTCGATAAATTTTTTTAACCGGGGAGTGGGGGTAGGACTTACCCACACCGAAAATTTGATGATAAAGAAACTCAAGGAAGTGAGAGAAACAAGTGACCTGAAATTCCAAATGAATACTCGGAGAATATCCTGATCACGGACAGTGACTTCATCTTGTCAGATAGGAGCAGCGCGATCTGTATAACGGCGGACATGTACTTCAAATCAAGACTAGAGGCCGACTTCAAGAGAGATTATTAGAACGTGGAGTTTCTATTCAGGCAGAGACCGGCGCTGGGAGGAATGGCTGCGCTTCCCCCATCAGTCTCACAAGTTCCGGGGAAGTACTTGTGCTTTCTGGTATCGAGGGTCAATGAAAGGAACACAATAGAACCTGAGAACATGATGCTGGCACAAAGAAGGCTGCGAGATTTCATGGTCGAAAGAGGAAAAATGGAGATCTCGATGCCGGTTTATGACCCGAACTGTAAGCTATCCTACACGTGGTCTTCGCAGAAACAGAAATAATGGTACACCTACACAAGAAATACTACTTGAGCATCGGCTGAGCAACGGATGGACAAGGGAGGTCTTGAGTTAGGGGTACATGGGGATCTCGAGTAGGGGTACACAGGGATATCGGAGCAGGTAGATGGGTTTTAAGGTAATTGGCATGACAATTATAATTTAAAGAGTCGACGGTGCTAAAACATTAAATGAATCTGCATGCTCCTAAAAAACTTCCAACAGAACTATTTTAGTAAAACAAATGGAGGGATAATGTTTTAACCACAAAAATGGGGGGGGTTTAGGTTAGGAATGGAACCAATGAGTCTACAAAGTGGATTTTATTTTCAGATTGATTTGTCAAATCGACTTGACGACCTAGACACACTCATTTGAAAGAAAAAAAGAAGATCTTGAACAAAGTTCACGATCAGCAACACTCGAAAGAGATTTTTCTCAAGTACGCAAGTTGGATGGTACGGTAAAACTCAAGTTGGTTGGTACGGTAATACTCACGTTGGTTGGTAAGGTAATACTCAAGTTGGTTGGTACGCAAGATCATTTAGAAATTGTAAAAATGGCAGATCAATTTTGGAAATCCATGCCTGCTGCGCTAAAAAAGCCTACGCTCGATGAATTGTATAGACGCTTGAGGGATTTGGACTACACCCAAATGGATGAGAGGATGGCAGTGATGTTGAATGCCATTCTGCAGTTAGAGGAGCAAGATGAATGCAGGGAGTCCGCCACGGAAGCTGTCTTGATGGTCGGCTACACCACAGAAGGGATATCTAATCAAGAACAGACCAGGTGGTTGTCCTGGAATATGGATGGAGGTGTGAGAGGATTCGACTTGGCAAGAAATCCTGACTTGAGCAGCAACACTGAGTACCGCGCGGGAGAGCTCCCATTACCGACCAGACCACCGGCAAGATCCGCGGGCCAGTCCACGAGCAAGCCACCATTCTATGATGCGAGCACAGCAAACGGAGGAGACATATCCCGACCTCAGTAGCCTGAAGAGGGAACTGGAGAGGGTGCAGAGGGAGAAGAATAAGGCGAATCTTGACCGGGATGGCGCCAAACTCGAGAGGGATCAAGAAAATCTGGAGAGAGACCAAGCGATCCTTGAGAGGGACCAGGCGCGCCGTGACCTAGACATGTTAAAAGCAGAATAACAGCAAGAGCAAAGGGTACGAGATATTGAGGCGAACTGCGAGCAGTTGAAGTCAGAACTTGAAAAGATCCAGCGGCAACAACGCGAGTTCGACAGGCAAAAGGAAAAGGGGACCATGACTACGGAACGAGCAGCTGCGGGCTAAAGGCCGGAGTCACGCATGGAGGTGGATGAGGCTCCTAGGTCATAGGGATGATTCAAGTTAGACCGCGCGGCTCAAGAGCACATGAACGAAGGACTGGAAGTGTGGATACCAACCGAGTCAGTGTCCTCCGTGCGTGGTTTGGAGACGCAACCGATACGCCCACTGATGGATCTGGCACAGCCAGGATATACCCCGAGCTCAACCCCGAGCAGCAGTCAGGTGAGCAGCAGCTCGTGGCGTCTCAAGGAATAAAACGAGAGGTTACAGCGTGAAAGTCCAACTAGAGCGGAGCAACCCCCAACTTGGAGGGAGCAGCCTGTCAGGAATGTAGTGATCGCAAGCTATAAGAAGAATACGGATGGCAGCCGATGGAAGCCGAGGAAGCAGAGTCATCGACGCCCCAAAGTTCAGTGGTATCCTCAGTGGTGGTGGTGGATAACAAAAGAGTGGAGAGACCAGCGGAGACAAGCCGGACACGATACCTGGAGAAGATAAAGGAGCTGGAGGATCTGGAGTGTAGACAGGAGTTGGCGGAGACCCTGGGGCTCAAGCACGTGTCACACGAGGACTTGAGCCGACACCATTGCGTGGATTGGTTAAAGGCCCACGAAACGCGTTTCTCAAGAGCAAGAATGATGGAGACGGCTGATCTGACTGGGATCTCCACGAAATCAGTCATGGGACCGATCAATTACAGACACTCAAGTTGCTGGGGAGTCCGGGACTCATAGTGAAGCCCCCCAAGCACCGAACAAATGTTGCGAGAATCAGGTTGGCAACTCCCGCGCAGTTGAGGAAAGTAGATAAATTACTGGAACCGAAAGAGATGGAACTACCAGACGCCGCCTACGAGGGAGCGAAATTGGTGGACGACCCAAGATATGGAAAACCCTGCGGGAGCGCCCAGTTGGCCAAGACACTGGCAGTATACGATAGAGCGGATCCAGCGGCCGCAAGAGTGATCATCGTGGCGGGATCGGATTTCGAGGGAACGTCTCCCAAGTTGTTCGGCCCGGAAATTCTGATATACTCGTTGCCAGGTGTGGAGTTGAACCAGATGTTGACTCTGGTGGTAGCGATGAAGTCAGAGATACCTTGTGAGCCAGAGCTACTGCTGTTCTTTTCATACTTCTAGAGCAGTTGAAAGGCGATGCGCCTATGCCAAAGAAGGAGGCCATCCAGACGTTGTTTGCCGCGATGAACGAGGTGCAGGAAAATGTCAGTTCTCAATTCGGACCTAAAACAAGAGTGGTATTTACGACGTCCCCTGGATACGCGAGCATGCCTCCTGCGCTGCAGTTTGTGTATGCAATTTTGGTCCTAATAGCCGAAGGGAAAGCATGGCGGTTTCTGATGGCAGCTCCTAATCGGGAGTTTGAGCCCACGAGCTTGAGACTTCGGAAGTCGGAACTGGCAGCGGCATGGGCTGATGCATCCCACGCATTGAGGGGATTCTTTGAACTGGCAGACATCCTCAATGTATTGGATGAGGTCCTTTTACTTGATATCTTGAATCTCGCCCGGCAATTAAAGTTCAGTCGGTAATAGAGGTTGACCACCCAATATTAAAACCCCTGACGTCCAGCCTATGGTTCCGAGGTATGGATCTGACCATCACGAGCTCCACCAGCAAATTGAGGGGACCAAGTAACGAAAGAAAGAACGTGGCCGCGGCCGAGAAACAACTGGAAGCGATGGTATATCGACTAACACAAGAGAATTGGTGGCCGTTTCTAACACCAAGACTAGAGAATGCTACGGATAAGACGAAGGAGAGTGCCCCACCTCTCGTGAAGCAGGTCTGGAAATTTCTTGAGGGACAGTGGAGGTAGAAGAAATACATGGCTGGTGTGTTTTATGCAATAAAAAAACATTTTTGGGGCCTTTGTGCAAGAGCTGTTGAGTATGCCCATAAGCCTCTTGCTGGCCTTATAATTGGTTTACCCAAGGTACCTGTTTAACATGGGTCCAGCGTACATGTTCAGTCGGGGGGTTGAGACACTTCGAATTGACGGGTATCTGACACTGGTCCTCCTGACTCATGGCGAACTGGTGTCATTTCATCGGTTGATGAAATATGGGGAGCCCCTGTCAATGGGAAAGATCCACTCAAGCATAGACACCTACTCGTACAAGTGCGCTGCAGGACTGAAGACGTTGCTAGTGGAGTATCTTTTGATGCAAAACCGACACATGACCGGCGAGGAGAAGAATCCAAAGACGAGACATGAATGGAGGGAGGCGAATGGTGGTATCCGATCTATTTCTGGCAATGAAATCTGACCCAGTGGGAATGATCAGGGGACTAGAGGAGGTCGTGACTTGTATTTACGGACCAGCCGTTACGTACGCCTTTCCGGATCCTCTAGTGGCGGCATACCGCAATTCAGTGGTACACATGAGTCTAATAAGCGTGTTGGATGGGACGGGGTTGAACTGGTGTCGACAAGAGGTGCTGAGGGCACGAATGAGCAAAACAG